AAAGCTGTTGAGTTTTTTTTATAATTAAACCACAGCCAACAGAAGAAATAGATGACTACATTCCTATTAGGTGAGGTGCCAGGACCGCCACGTTTGACTCAGAAATGCAGGCTTTGTTCAAATTAATTTACGCTTGTGATTTTATTTTTTGATAGCGAGCTTTACCATATATCATAAATAATAATGTATTAAATCCTGTTAGGTTGTGCCATATGTTGCATTGCATCATTTTTTGTCAAGGCATATATCGTGTCAGTTAATATCCTCTTATCTGTTATCATAAAGTTATGTCTTGTATATTGTTTGATACAATTCATCAATTTCATATTGCACTGCACCACATTGTTTTCTAGTATTACATCAAGTCGTGTCAATTAATTGTTCATATACCGTATTTTTCGGACTGTAAGGCACACCTTTAATTTTCTCAAAAATCGACAGTGAGCCTTATAATCCTGTGCGCCTTATGTATTAATTCTGGTTGTGCTTACTGACCTCGAACTGATTTTATTTGGTACACGCGTTTAAAAATCTGTCAAAATGAACTTGTTTCGCTTAATGCACCTTATAATCTGGTGCGCCTTATAGTCAGAAAATACAATGCATCTACAATGGACAGTTTCTTTTTTGTGGAAAGATGTTTCACCTTCTATCCAGAGGGCTTCATCAGTCTGAGGAGTCCCAAGTAAACTGTTTTCCCTACTAAGCTGTACACTCCTTTAGTGGATCAACCAGTTTGCTGGAAATAAGACTGATGAAGCCCTCCGGATAGAGAGCGAAATGTCTTTCCACAAAGAAGAAACTGTCCAGATGACCTGACTGACCATTATTGGATTTTGTACCTGGATGACTGAGCATAAACTTAGATGTCTTGAACCATTTTGGCTGTGGCTGCCTGCCTGGGAGGAGTCGACAGGGGACAGGACAGCCCCAGAAACCACCAGCAAACTGGTTGGTCCACTCAATGAGTGTACTGCTTAGTGGGGAAAACAGTTTACTTGGGACTCCTCAGACTGATGAAGCCCTCCGGATAGAGGGCGAAACGTCTTTCCACTAAAAAACTGTCCAGATGACCTAATTGATCGTTACAGGATTTTTGTACCTGGATGACTGAGCATGAACTTTCACATCTACAATGCTTTTTAATGTGGATCAACACATTTATCACACACTTTGACATCTGACTCTTTCATCTGATAAGATGAAATTAATGAAAGTTGATTAAAAATACAGTTTGTCCAAAAAGTATCTTTATCTTTGTTGTTATGGCTTATTGTTAGGAAAGTGCTCCATCAAGATCAGAGACTTGAATCGCAGCCCCTGTTTTCTTTTTCCTGTTTCTTGGCTCCGAGCTTTGTCTCCGACGTCCATATTTAGAAAGGAGCGCAGCACGCAGTAGATTGAGGGCACCGATTAGATCACTGAGAGGTCTGCTGAAGTGGAACATGGTGATGACTTGAATTTGCGAGTGCTCCTTTAGAACCACTGTTTCCATGTGTGCGAGCAGCGTGTCACAGGAGCGAAGGGGCACCGCTCACTTGTGAATTTGTTTTGGCAAAGAGAAAAGTCCAGCAGCGAGAATCAATTTCGACTTTGGCTGAGCTGTGAAGTTGAGAGGGGCATTATGCAAGATGAACTCAATCCTCTGCGTCCTTGATGCAAGGTGTTGATCAACTTATTGATGACTAGACATCATGTTTTTTTTGCTCGAGTAAGCACAGACCCCACCTCACACACTCACCCTGACACACACACCTCCTTTCAGGTCCAGCTGAGCTGGTCATTGATCCATGTATCCCCAAAAACAGCCGGAGCTCTGCAGTCAGAAGCTCATAGAGCGCAAACGCCATGCAGGAGGGGGACCACAAACCTGGGGCACATGGACACCACTACTCCATCCATGCAAGGTAGACCTCCACTAACAGATTTCTTAAAGCACTTTCTCTTAAAAATGTATTTAAGAAACAAAAACTCATAGATTTGATCTTAATTTGCATCTTTTTTCATGCAACAGGTCACAATTAAAACAACTAAACTACGTTTGTTGTGGTTGTTGCCTGCTTGCACCTTTGATCAGAGACAAAAACTATCCTAATTCTTAGCAAACGTAACTGCCAACAGTTGTAATAATTAAAATATCTGACGACTACAAGCTCTGATTGGATGTAATCAGCCATATCCCTGCAATCATCTTTGATTCTGTTTGATTGAACAGAGACTCTTCTGCTCTTTTAATTCCTTCTGCTCCCAGAAACATGAAAGCCAAGTCTGCGTCTTGAACCGCTGCTGGACTTTGTAGGTGATGTAGGCTATAAATAATTGAACAAAGGGAACCCCAGAGGCTTTTCACATCTACGGTAAGAGTTAGTGGGAAAAGTTTTCTAATAACGAAGGATGATTCACCACAATGCAGGAAACACTTGTGCATCCATAAAACATGGATAACCTCTTAAATGGCAGGACGCCACAACCAAATTAACAAATTCATGGCAAATGCTAATTTATTAAAGTTACTTAAATGAACAAACAAATATGCTGATTGGCAGATTTCTAATATCAGGGAAGCTTTGGATTCTTGTTTGTTTTAGCTACAAATGACTTTATGATTCAAACTTAAGCACTCGGATCTCACTCAGAATTAAATTAGAACCGCACAAGACAAAATTAAGAGTCACACTTCAAAAGAAGCCCATATGTGTCTTGCATACACAGTTTTAGGTGGTTTTGGACCCAGAATGCAAACAAGTCTTGAGGAACTAAAAAAAAACAAAAAAAAAACGTTTTTGTTATAAAACAAACAAAAATACATTGTCATGACAACCAACACTAATAAAACTCAAGGAAATATTTGTGAAACAGAAAGAAAAAACTTGAAAAGGATTGGATGAAATACTCACTGCTCAAAGAGTGCATGGAAAACATCTGATAGGATATAAACTGGACTGATGAGGAAGTGGAGACACCTGGGCTGATTGCAGATCGGGAACAGGTGAGAGTGGGCGTGGCAGGCTGACTGACAGCTGACACGAGACACCAAAACCTATACACAAGCACAGTGGCGGGTACAGCTCTAATTCACTAACAGCTCGCTGCTGTTTCATGTCGCTGCTGATCTGTTTCATGTTGCTGCTGATCTGTTTCAATGTTACTGCTGATCTGTTTCATGTCGCTGCTGATCTGTTTCAATGTTGATGCGTTCATGCGTGCTCTTCTGCTCACACGGACTCGTGTTCAGGTTTGTGCTGATGTTCGACGTAATGTTTTATGCTATTAGTGCTTAATGTATATTTAGCTGATGTTTTTCTTAGTTAATATCTTGAATGTTATCACTGTTTTTCTTTTACATTTTCTTGTTGGATGTAACTGGGACACTGTGTACATAATTTCGCTCCACCACATGTACCACATGAGGTGCGAATGACAATAAAGAATCTCAGACTCTGATTCTAATAGAGGAGCAATTTTTTCGTTTAGCGGATTAGCATTTCGCTAACTTTGGAAACCATTAGCAAAATTAGCTTTGGTTAAATTAGGTTTCTCCAACTTTAAGTCCATCCATTCATCCATCCATTATCTTCCGCTTGTTCCCAAGCCAGGTCACAGGGGCAGCAGCTTGAACAAGGAGACCCAGACATCTCTTCTGGACTCCAATGTGTTCAGGCCAACCGAGAGACATAGTCTATCCAGTGTGTCCTGTGTCTTTTTTGGAGTATTGTACCAACTTTAAGTCTGTCCGTCCGTCCGTCCGTCCATCCATCCATCCATCCATCCATCCATCCATCCATCCATCCATCGGCTTTCATTTGTTCCGGCAGCAGCCCGAGCAGGGAAGCCCAGACATCTCTTTCCACAGCCACCCCTTCCAGCTCTTAGGAGGACTCCAAGGTGTTCCCAGGCCAGCCAAGAGACCTAGTCTCTCCAGCATGTCCTGGGTCTACCCCCGGAGTCTCATCCCAACGTTAAGTCCACTAACAAAATTCACAAGCTTGTTCCTGGCTGTTGTGTGCGTAACTCTAAGATTACATTGAGCATGCTATTGACTTACACATGACAAGATGTGATTGGTCAACTGTGGATCTGTGGAATTCAGTTACTCCAAGTTTGTCCTAAATATGTGAGTTATGTGAACTTAATTCGGGACAGATGAATGTAGAGCATTCACTGTCGAGGGTTCGATTCCACCAGCAGTCACATGTTGAAGTGTCCCTGGGCAAGACACTGAACCCCTCACTACCGAGCGGCTTCAGATCCAAGACCGTAAACCGCCAGACCCTTTACTCTAAACCTAACCATGTGAAGCTATTATGAGTCTAACATAGCTAGAGCCTATTATCATCGCTAACAACGTACCTTTAAACCCACTGGGAGGTACGGGGGGCAGTCTGACCACTACATATGGAGATAACAACTAATAATGGCCATTTAATGGCTGATAACATCTGAAGCGGGTGTTTGTTCCATGTAGAGATGTAGAGTGTTGTGTGAATGTGTGTGTGGAGGTAAATGAGGCCACAGATTGTGTTGTAAAGCGCTTTGAGTATCTTGATTTGATAGAAATACATTATATAATTACAGACCATTTACCATTATTGTTTTAGTAAGTTGTGCTGTTTGGGTTTGCAGTGCCGCGAAACAACCCATCAGTTTTTAGAGTGGACAGCACGTGGTCGTGTGTTTCCATAAATTTGAGTGAATTTGCAGAAAAAAAACAAAAACAGGAATTTTGCAGTTGCTATCAGTTCAGTATGTCCGGAAGGACCACACAATGTCCAAATCCTCTTTTTGTGCAGATGGTCACGGATCCAGGAGAGGACGCTGTTGCCGTGGCTCGCGCGCGCAGCGGCGGAGCAGCGCGCGCTGTTGGAGTTGAAACAGTGCGCCGCAGTAGTGGCCACGCATATGCTTGTGCGGGGGTGATGGAGCTGGCTCTTGGTGTTGGGAGTCTTCCGGAGGTTTTGGCGTCACAGTAGCTGCGCTGCTGCGTCGCCCCCTGGGAGAGGATGTACGGCGATGGAGAGGGCGCAGTGTGGGACCGGGTGGGACGGCCCCACCGGGACTGCATGTGCTACCTCGGACCTCCTACCACTCTGATGCCTATGTAAGACATTTAACTTTTACTGAACACACTGCAGCAGAGGACAGGAGGCGGGAATACCTGTTGCGCGTTTGGTTCCCCACCCCCCGTGCGTCAACGGAGTAAATCGGGCAGATTATGAGTTGATGTTTTTCAGATTATTTAATAATAATTTCTCAAGTCGATATAAGATTTCGGGCGAACATGTGGAGCATTTTCACAGAGATTTCGCGTGAGAAGGTTAGTAAATGTTTTACTGTCACATGATGAGGGTGTTAAAGGTGCGCCAGCTGTGCAGCTGTCAGTCAGCGCTTTGGTTTATTTCACCAACTGCTTGTTTATCTCCTCTGTCAGATATTATAGGACTTGATGGTGTGACGCTAAGCGCGCGCATTTGTGTGTCCAGCTGACGCCCGGAGCTGTCAGGAGTGTTGCCCCTCCATCTCTGCGAATCACTCATGATTCATTCATTAGTTTCGAATCCAGATAAGCCCACAATAAGAGCTGCACAGTCACAGAGAGCAGAACACGGGAGCTGCAGGAGGAGTCACTTTAGCTCAGTGTCTGTGTGTGTGCGGACGCAGGGCCACTGAAGGAGCATGATTTCTCTGCAGGGGCCCAAACACGCAACACCAAGCTCCCTGCTTCCGCCGAGGGGACCTGCTGTATTAGAAAGACATCCAAACCGAACCCCCCCCCCCCTTCCCTTTGCAGAACAACCTCACTTTTTCACTCGTTTTTTTTTTTTTCTTTTCTTCTCAGCGGGATGCGCAAGTCTCCCGACGTGAGCCCTAGAAGGCTTTCGGACATCAGCCCTCAGCTCAGACAGCTCAAGTACCTGGTGGTGGATGAGGCCATCAAAGAGGACCTCAAGTCCTCGCGCTCAGTTGAGGACATCAACAGCGCGTCCATAGAGGAGAGGATTTTACGCATCACCGGCTACTATGGATACCAGCCTTGGAGTACGAGCTACAAGAGTGAGTCCGTTACTTTCCTCACCTTTGTCCTCCACTGAATGAGTTCATGTAAAGTGAGGGAAGAGGAGACGATTGCTTAATTTGACACAAACTTATTGTGGCTTCAGATTATATTGGGATAATCTTGTAACAAAATGGATCACAGGGAGCAGCATGTTGCTCCATCTGACAGGACTGGTGCAGTTTGAGACTGAGTGGAGCTGAGAAAAAGGCTGTGATGCATGAGTGCTGAATGAGCTTGCTGAAACTTTGCTGAAGAAGTTGAAACAGAGTTAAGGATAAATGAATAGCTGAAAGAAGCAGAACTAGCTAAATTTTAAAACAGATAGAAACTACAACTTAAAAGTAGTAAAACAGTAGTTAAAAGGTACCGTATGTGTAGAAAAAACTAGCTAAAATTAGCTGAATGGAAGCTAAAAGTAGCAAAAGGCTATAGTTACAAGGCTAGCCAAAAGATAGAAGCGGCACAAGGAGACAGAAACAGAGCAAGTAAAACAGATTTCAAAGAGAACATTGTTTTTGAAGTATTTGAAGACATTTCAGTATGTTTCAGGGGAAAGTATTTGTAAAAGAAAATAAAAACATTTTGAGAAGTATCACAGTTTATTTTGTGTTTAAGCTCCTCTCGTCCAGTCTGCGGCCAAACTGTATTTTAAAACCAAAATGTAACGCTGATGTGGCAGCAAACATCTGCTTATATGATAAAGAAGCACAAGGAATATACGAGTGGCCCGGAGACGAGCAGATTATAAGACAAACAGACTAAATAGGCTGGAAGTGATGAAGAGTGGCTACAGGTGAACAGGGTGCAGGTGGAAGTGGGCGTGGCAGGCTGACGAGCAGACAACTGAGGACGACACAGAGGAACTGATCCAAGGCCAACTTAAGAACAAAACGTTGAATAGACCTGATCATAAACAAAAGGTTCAAAAGTTACAAAAAAAACAAAACTCACAGCACTCGTCTCCTGCCTCTGTTAAAATGGCACAAAGATGTCAAGGCTCTTTATTGTCATTCTCATCATATGTGGGACATGTGATGGAACAAAACTGTGTACACAGGGTCCCAGTTACATCCAACAAAAGTATAAATTGTAAAGAAGAACAATAATAAGATCTAAGATATGAACTAAGAAATATGCTAAACCAAGAACATACTAAACACTAGTAGCACAAAAACAATACACCGAACAGCAGCACGAACATGAGTCTGTGTGAGCAGATGAGTATGAATGAACACAGCAGCATGAGATCAGCAGCATGGATAGTCAGCAGCAATCAAATGGTATTACAGTGTTTTTTTTTCTCACAATGATTATTCTGGTTAGAGATTTATGAGTCTAACAGCCTCAAGGTAGAAGCTGTTCCTCAGCCTGGTGGTTCTACACTTAATGCTCCTCAACCTCCTTCCTGATGGGAGCGGGGCAAAAAGTGTGTGTGCTGGGTGTGTGGGGTCCTTCATGATGCAGGTGGCCCTCTTCCTGTATCTGGAGGTGTAGATGTCTGTGATGGTGGGGAGGCTGACTTCAACAGACTTCTGTGCAGCCTTCACCACTCTCTGCTGAGCTTTTCTTTCTGTAGCTGTGCAGCCTCCATGCCACACGTTGATGCTGGAGCACAGGATGCTCTCCACTGCACACCTGTAGAAGGAGGTGAGGACTGAGCTTCACAGACCAGTTCGTCTCAGCCGTCTGAGGAAGTAGATGGGTAGGAGGGTAGTTGGAGATGTGGTGAGATGGCAAAACACAAACAGGAAATCAATAATGTAAACGCCGACTCAGCATTCACACGAGAACTTTAGGAGAGAGTGGATCACGTGTATTTTGCAGCTCTCACACATCCACAGTGAGATTTTAAAGGCTATTGCCTTACGAATGAAATGTTTTGTGTTTTCAGTTTTCTCTCTCCTGAAGAAATGTTCCTGCAGTTGCTTCAGCGACGTGCGCTTACCTTTTTTCGGCTCAAGTTTGCTTCGCAGCTTCTCAGGAGCTCAGATTAAGGCAGTGCAGTTCTGAGTGACTGATCCTTTGAAGAAAATGTGCTGCCGAAGCAGCTCTAATTTTCTCTTTTCCTTGTTTGGTCTCTGCTTCCCTTCAGTAGATTTGCATTTGTATATTTTGCACGTTAAATCCCTCGATGTGTACAGATCCTGGCAGGGTGATGAGATGGATTACAGACTCGCTTCACTTGCTCCGTGGCTTTGTGCAGCATTGGTTTAGTCTCATGACAAACCGTTCGCTTGATGAAGCTCTTTTTCGTTCATTTGTTTGTTTTCGCTGCTCTGGTGTGAATACAAGATTTTGCTGATGATGACCTGTAACTCTGCAGCAAAACATTTTACGTGAGAGAGAGCAATATTTATCAGCTGCAGTACTTTCTCAGAATCTACATACAGCACCCACCACCTGCACACTGCAGAACTGTTTGTATAGCATTTATTATTTACTATAAGCATCACGTGATGCAAAGAAAGAGAGCAAAAAGAAAAATAAATACATTTTTCAAGAAATTTTAAGATGAACTTATATTTCTGACATTTGCAGGGTCACCTCACTGCCAATTTATCAGCAGTCCAGTGCACAAAATTCAAACTGTAAGTGAATTAAGGCAAGATGAGCTCTGCGTTATCATTTCCCTCTGAGCACCGATTCACATTATGGTGAAATTATAAGATTTTGTGGCTCATAATAACAGTAATCATATGCTATGCGATAAAAATATATCAACCCTGAAAGCAAATGTTAAAAAAGTGGAATTTTTATAAAGAACTGCATCTCATTTAATGTTTAAGGAGCCGTTTATTATTCTTTATTATTTTTCAGTAGAGCTTTTCTATTTATGGAAGCTTGCATGCGATAAAATGACTATTAATATAGCAATCCTTATTAAACCATATTAAAATAACTTCTGGTTAGTTTTATTAACCACTAAAAGTGATAACTTTCCATATAAATATAATGTTATGTATGACTAAATTTAGATTTTAATAAATACATCCTTGTATTTTCACCTTATCTTGATAACAACAAAATCAAATGATGCAAAAAATATAGTAATATCTAAGTTTGTAACATGAAGCTATATAGGAACAAAAAATGCTTATTTTGAATTCAGGAATGTGATTAACGCGAGTTTGGACAGAGACGTGTTTACCACCGTGTTGCGTCACCACTTTTTAAAACGAATACGTGACACAAAGACTGGATTTATAGTGAAACATTTTACCATTACTGCTCTATTTCAGCGGTTTAATAATTTAGCTTTAATGTAAAGCAAATGTAATATATAAACAAAAAATTCCCAATATTTAGTTTCAAGGCAAACCCAGTGTTTCCAGTGTCGGACACGTCTCTCTCAGGTTGCTTGATGAGTTCATTCATTCAACCTTTATTTATACAGGTTAGTCTCATTGAGCCTCGAGGACTCATTTACAAGAGATACTTGTTTTTAACAAAGAATGATGACAGTAGACAATCACAAAACAAAGCATATAAATTGAAAAATAAATAAAGCTATATTTAAAAAAATGAAACAAAAACGGTTAGATTGTAAAGCGATATAAAATACTAAAACGGGAACATGTCTGCATTGGATTTTTGCCATGAACTTAGATGTTTGAAGCCACTTAGAGAGGTCAAGGTCGAGAGCTTCAGATCTTTTTGCAAGATATTCCAGGAAACAGGAGCGGAGTAGTAGAAGACCCTTTTGTCAAGTTCAGTCCGCACTGAGGGAACACTGCATGTAATCATGTCCTGAGAGCGCACGCTGTAGCTGCACTCACGCAGTGACATGTAGGAGATGTATGAAGGCATCAGACCAAGATGAAAATGTACCAGTGAGAGAGATTGCATGACATTAATAATGACCAGTTAACCAGTGAATACAGGGTGCAGTGATGGGTATGGTAGTTACAGCCAGTTATGAATCTTAGCACACTGTGATAGACAGCATCCAACATCTGCAGGGTGCTTGTAGGAGCATTTACAAGGCATTTCCTAGCATTCAATTCAATTCGGTTTATTTATATACAGAGTTAGACAGGATCTATTTCTGAAAAAGCAACCCAGTTTTACTTTCAGTTTTTTTTTTTTACCAAGTTTTCCACGTGGAGCTTAAGAGAGATGCGAATTGACAAAAATACCCAAGTATTTCTTAGAATCGACAAACAATAGGAACACCATTCAAATATAAAATAGAAGGAAGAACAGCTGGGACCGACTTCCTGTTTGAAAACAACATCCCTTTGGTTTTTGTCAGTGTTTAGCACAAGTTTGAGACAGAACAAAGCTGACTGGATGATGCCAAAAGCTGATTGTAAAAGCTAGAAAACCTTAGCAACTGTTTTAGCTCGACAGTAAACAACTGTTTTGTCAACACAGAAATGTAAGAATGCATCAGGGATGATCTGAGCTATATTAGCTATGTAGATTGTGAAGAGGGTGGGTCCTAAGACTGAACCTTGTGGTGCACCGTTGTAAATAATATCAACTAAATGGCACTAAAGATCATTGCTACAATTTGGAATCTGATTTTCAGCATTGCTATGAATATTATTTTTACTACTTGACTATTATAATGGTATTAACTTAAATACAAACATGTTTTCAAGTAATTTAACTTGCACATTTAACTTCCTCTAAGTGCTGAACTGTTCTCTAACTTGACATCTTAAATAAGTGTATTTAAGTTATTTCTTTATTTTTAATCAACTTATTCTGGCCTAATGCCCTAAAATTTAGTGGTGTTTTGATTAATGCCACTGATAAGAGCTGTTATTATCGAGGCAGTTTTCTGATCATGATGACTGTTTTGGAACATGCACAATAGTCAGAAGTGCTCCCTCGAGAGGATTTGCTGTCATAAAATGGAATTAAAGGCATTACCTAAACATTTATGCACTAAATATTTATGGTAAATGGGAAAAAAGAAGGGGCAACTGGTAGAGCTGCTGCCTCTCAACGAGCAGGTCCTTGGTTCAAACCCCAGTCCAGGGGCCTTTCT